CAATCTAAGAGCAGAATCAAGTCTCACCCCCAGGATAGTGACAACTGGCTTCTGGAGGGATGAAAAAGTGCACAGATCAACAGTAGAACCTAAATGTGAGCTGCGACTTGGGTGAAACATGATAAATTCCATTTTACATTCATATAGCGTACAGGAAATTAGCTCCAAGCCATGTCTTTACCTCATTTACACAGGTCTCAAGGTTTAAAAAAGAAGCTCTGTTCCCCAGAGACAGTGGAGAATAGATCTGGCAGTCATCAGCGTATAAGTGGAACTTAATGCCATGTCTGCGGAAAATGGACCCCAACGGCAACAAATACATTGCTAAAAGCAGTGGTCTGAGAATTGAGCCCTGCGGAACCCCCAGCACAGAGCCTCCCAAGAAGAGAGAGCTTCCCTCAATCTCACACAGAACCTCCTATCATATAGGTTTCTGAATTTCAGGAAAGAACCGCCCTCTCCACTTTATCCTCATGCACACTCTGTGTGTTACGATCTACTCCTACCTCCCTCTGACTCCTGCCCCTGATTAGTTTTTATTGGTCTCACCTGCCCCTTGTTAACCTGCCCATGTGTTTCTGATTGTTTCCCTGTGTATTTATACCTCCCGTCTTGTATGTGTCATGGTCGGATCATTGTTGTGTTGTGTCTTGTTGTTTCCTGCCGTATCCTGCCATTAAATCCATTTTTATGTTATCCGTTATTCCTGCCTCCTGGTCAGCTCCACCACACATGGTCCGCCGCCACCCACACCACATCATGGCACTGTGCAGGTAACTGCCAGCCTTGCAGCTCTTCTAGCAGTAATCTGAAATGAGTTACTCCAGATAGCATGCCAAACTTACGCTTACTTGTCGAGCAAAAAACCAGCCACATAGGTGCCCAACCTGAGAACGGCGAGGAATGAAGGCATAGCGCTCTACACATAAACAGAATGCACATGCGCAGTAAGTGAAAACTAGCCTACCTCAGGAACGATCGTGTAAAACGACGGCCTTGTGTGAAAGCTTCACCAGATGTATTTACAGTTATGCGGACCAATAGTTCCGATGATCCACCCGGAAGAAAACGACCCTCCGTTATACCTTTAAGTAGCTTTTACGTCTAGTTGTAAACATCTCTATTCTCTGCTTTTCTGAACATTCAGGTGTAGCTCTAGACAAAGAAATTCAGATCAGCTCCACAAACAGCACTGAAAACAACAAAGGACGAAATTAGTGTTGCTACTAATGCATCATGGGAGAATGCAACAGTCAAGTTTTAGGTGAATCTAAACTCAGTCTGATTTACACTCTAACAATTCAATTTACTTATGCAGCGCCAAATTAGTTAAAGTGAAATTAGGTGATAATGGGTTTGTTTGTTTGTTTATTTGTTTTTAGTTTTAGCAAAACTTCTCGTAAACCGCAGGATGGATTTTAACAAGACCTCCAGAAAGTGATGAATGGATCTTTGTCTACAACTGAAGTCAACTCAGTTCAATATGTCCTTCCCATCTAATGACAATGGAACGCGTACCTGGATATAACTTGATTAACTTAGCTAATTCTAACCTGAAACTGGATCTAGAAGCAGCTGAGCGTCATTTACGATACAGGGTTTAACTTTGGTTTTATTCTATGAGGAATTATTTTCTAGTATTGTTTAATTTCTGGATAATTTCAACACGCCAAAGCTGTTAGGCAGTGGTGCTGAAGTGATCAGTTCTTGGGGGATTGGAAGGGCAAAAGTCAGCGCCTACATGCATAACATGCACTGTGCATGGGGCCCCTCAATCCAAGGGGGCCCCATTTTGCACAAGGGGATGCATTTTCTGCAAATGATCTTTACCGCCGTGAAGCGTTCAAAGAGCACCAAGTCAGCCCAAGGGAGGAGAGAAAAGAGACAAGTTTTCTGACACAGTGCGCGTTGCTACAATGATTGACAACCCCCAGCATCTGAAAAACCAGCTTATGCACATCAACACTAAAGCCAAAGTTAATGTCTCCACCCAGAAGAAGAGCAGCTGATCAACAAACAAACTGAAGTAAACGGCATTTAAGAGAGCACACATCTTACGGATCTTACCAAAATGAAATGCTTCTTGTCCATGTGCAGAGACCGATCTTACCCATGATGTCTTGCTCTGTGATGGCGAACCCACTGTCTGTCGCAGAGTCCTGGTAGGAATCATTCAGCATGCCAGAGGTGGTTTCTCTATGGGACCCCTGGCTGTCGACACCCATCTTTCCCTGCTCCTCTTCCTGAGAGTGGTAAAACACCGAGCTGGCTGACTCAACGGAGCGCATCATGCTGTATCGCCTCCTCTTGTCCTGTCAAGAGTTAGAGGGTGACTCATCCTAACGTTGAGGTGGATTTTTATTAGTCCTTCCTGGAAACATTCAGTTTCAACTTTCAGAATTAAAAAAAATTCCGATCACAGATAAAGGTACTTCAAAATTACAATCAGAACCCAAAGTGCAGAATATGGTGTAAACTTCCTGACTTTAAGGCAGTTTTAATATTCGTCCTCTGTTCAGTGTCATCCCATTCTCATCCACTTTTCAGTTAAATGTTCAAATGATGATAGCTCATGTCCTTTAAGAAACAGAAAGAAAAGAGCCATTAGTGGCCTTGAAATTGTCCTCATAGATGATTTATTTAGAAAATGTCTTTAGTTTATCAAAAAACTTTGTAAAAACAGTCAAATCTGTGAACTGGAATCAGAAAAGGGTAGAAAGCCTTCTCCAGGTCAGGGATGAGTTTAAGGGTGACGGGGTCTTGTTCTTGAGCGTGGAAAAGATGGAGCACGAGATTGGTGCTGCATCTGCAGTGATGTGGGTGTTGTACCGGTTGATCCGCGCTGCTACCCTCATCTATGGTCACGAGCTTTGGGCAGTCACCAAAAGAATGAGATCCCAGATACAAGCGAACAAGGTCAGTTTTCTCCGCAGGGTGGCTGGGCTCTCCATTAGAGATAGGGTGAGAAGCTCGGTCATCCAGGAGGGGCTTGGAGTAGATCTGCCACCCCTCCACATCGAGGGGAGCCAGTTGAGGTGGCTCGAAATTTCGTTAGGATGCCTCTTGCACGCCTCCCTGTTGAAGTTTTCTGGGTACGTCCAACCAGGAGAAGACCTGAAGGAAGACCCAGGACATGTTGGAGGAACTATGTCTCTCGGCTGGACAGGGAACCCCTTGGGATTCCCCCTGGAGGAGCTGGCCCAAGTGGCTGGGGCGAGGGAATTCTGGGTGTCTCGGCTTAGGTTGCTGCCCCTATGACCCGACCCCGTATAAGCAGATGAAAATGAATGAATGGATGGATGGATGGATGGATGGATGGATCGATGGATCGATCGATGGATCGATCGATGGATCGATCGATGGATGGATGGATCCATCGATGGATCCAGCGATTGATCTGTAAACTGAATATTTACCAGCCAGTAAATTCAAGTTATTTTTTTAATACAAAATCATTTCTAATGAAATTTAAAAAGCTTATTGCAATTTCTGATCTATTTATCACTTCTTTAAACCATGTATCATCATCATTTCAATAATATACCTTCATAATATTTCATTCTTGTCCAGCTCATCAATTATTGTTCTTGACAACCGCATTTCGTCACTTTCCTACACCATGTTGTGTTTGCACCTTGGACAATACCGTTGATCATTTAGGCAATACAATATGGGTAGCCAATATGATCACTCTATCTTCATCAATGGTTCCTTTTCAATAGGTGTCTTACTGATTTGGGGTTGTCGTGGTAACGGGTGGTGTCACACACCACGCTGTAGCCAATGAGGCTGTCCCCTGGGAAAAGGAAGGTGTTGCCAACTGGAGACAGCAGCACCTCTTTGGTTTCTGGGAAGAGCCACTCGATGGAAATGTCACTGAGAACCGGAGACATGGTCTTCTTTAGCGACCTTATCATCTGTCGAGTAAAAGTAGAAAACCACAGGTTCTCTGTAACCACTTGTAAAGGGAATGGTGTCTTTTAGACATGATTTCCTGATTGGTTTCGGTAGCAGTCTGTTTTCAAATAGCTCTGTAATAGCTCTCCAGCAACCCTCAGAATAACTGGCTGTCATTATGAGCGACACTCAAGTACCTTGGGCTGCAGCCTCTCTCCGTCCGCCAGAAACTCTGCTGTTCCTTTGGAAACTGTCGCCAGGCCCTGCACCAGCCTCTTGCATGCATTCTGGCCTATGCCGAACGTAAAACATCTGCCAGACATTAAACACAGCAGCTTTACGGACAGATCGACAGACTTATGAGCAAGGTAACAGATGTCTCCAATGAATGTGCACACATTTCGCAGAGAAATTAGAAGATGCTGCGTACGGCTTGGGAATGTTTTCAGAAAGACTTCAGCGGACAAGGGCGTCAGTTTGTTTTCAGAATTGCTGGGGACAATAACCATACACTTGAGTGGGGTTTAAAAATTGCTGGGGACAATAAAGTCAGGCTTTTTTGAAAGTGGGGGGGACACAGCTGCCAATCACACATTTTGCCGGGGACATGTCCCCGGCATCCCCGGTTAAAATGACGCCTATGCCAGCGGATGATGCTGGAGCCACGAATTCTGATTTTCAAGGGGAAATGAGGTGGTTAATTATATCTCACCACTCATCTTTTTGCATTTTTAATGATGTAAAAAATGTGAGCAGATCAGAGGGAAATGTCACCTTCTGTGGCGTTAAAATCCTATCACAAGCTTCCTAAAGGGCGATTGGTCCTTCTTCAATGTAGTCTCTAACTGGCTCCGCTGATTTGTAAGCATAGTGTGATAATGACCCAGGAAGTGCTGATGATTTGGCCAACCTCTCTGCACCTAATGCAATTATCAGAGGGCAGTCATCCATTAAAAGGGGGAAGACAAAACTCAATTATCTCCGTTGCGACTCCAGACTGGAGATTTCACAGCGTGAGGCTTAGATCCAAGCAGAAAAACAAAGTTATTTCCCAGAATGCTGCTATGCCTCCAGCGCTCCCTGTGAGCTGACAGCTGGCGTTCACATGCTGCTTTCCTTATATCCTTGAAACAGCTTTGTTGGTGCTTGTTTAGCTATCTGGAATGGCTGCACAAATGTTGCCTCAGTGACATGTTTGTTATATTTACGACAGGCACAACAAGCTGCGTGTTCCCGCATTTCATTCTGAGCAGAATACAAATCCACATCCAGGTGTTTTAACTCACCCGATGAGCAGGTGAAGCAGCGATTCATGTTGTGAATGGACCATTTCTTTGTCTAGTTGGGGGATTTAGTAGATCAATGAGGTCACACTTTTAATCAAGATTTCTAAAGCCCCTAAACGTAAAATATGGATCACATTTAGCATCAAGTGGGTCGACGTATTTAGAGGAGCTTTGAAAGCAAAAGCTGTTATTATCGCCCGTAGCCCTAACAGTGTACCTGATTGATCCAGCTCTTATGAGAGTGTGTGTGCTGACAGTGATGCTTGCCTGACATAGCGTGCATGGCTTCGGACCAGCTCGATAACTTTGCCTGTGTTGCTGACGGCGCCGTCCGTCAGGAGAAACAGCAGTCTGGGGTGTCCGCTGATCATCGGCTGCCTGAGAATCCAGGTGAGCGGTGCCAAGATGTTGGTGCCCCCCATGTCTGCTCTGATTCTCCTGATGTAATCACAAGCTTGGGCCACAGCCTCCTGGAGCACAGGGATCAGCAGTCAGGTTTGTAGCAGAATGGATAATATTTCAATACCAAACTTAAAAAAATCCATATTAAGTCATGAAAATGTTTGCATGTTTGAAAAATTTGCTTCATTTTCATTTCATTTAATACATTTAAATATCAACTTTACTCATATATTTTATACATTTGCAGTGGTCTCTAGTAAGAATGAATGCCTTTGTGAGGGACCGAGTAGTGAAGCATGAGGAGTCACAGGAATAGTTTAAAAAATAGGGTTTTTATTTTTTATCTTTTTGATTATTAACCCCAAAAAACTTCATTTAATAAAGATAAATGCTGAGCTCATAAAAGAGGTCAAGATAACAGAACTAAACTCAGGCAGAAATGTGAGCAAAGCAACTGGCTGCACAAACAAACATAACTGACCTCAAGAACTGACACACAGAGGTATATGTAACGGCTGATCAAACCAATAGAAACAATAGGGGTAACTTAAACAATACAAAACTCACAATAAACACAATCATAGTGCAGTCCAGCTGTTTGATAAGCAAAACATCAAAGAAGAAACTGATATTTACTTTATTTAAATACAACCTAATCAACAGAACAAAAGCCAATTTTACTCAAACATACAGTACTTTTCCCCTCTCCAGCAGGAACTGGTGGTGCAGTCCAATTAGCTTGCAGATATTTAACTACTTGGAGCCCAGGCCACTGTCTTTGTTTGGCCAGGGATCACAGCAGACTTGTTTAAGTGTGGCCTGATGTCACTTGTTTATGTTGCAATTCAACATCTGGACTCAAATCCAGCTAATGTACTTCATGTAAAATCAGATGCAAATTAAAATCAGCTTAAAGAGCAAGGAAACGCTTCAGATTAGTGAAATTAGTCCATCAATGTGTAAAATTCCAGATTATTCTGAGTCGGGTCTTGTGGTTTCACTACTGACTTCCCAACGGTGGCAGAAGAGTTGAATATCCGCTCATTAACAGGAGGATTGCAGCCAGGTTTGCTTCCTGGTCAGTCTGTCACAGTCTTTGTGTCCTTGGGCGAGACACCTCACCCTCCCTGCCTGCTGGTGGTGGTCGGAGGGACCGGTGGCACCTGTGTACGGCAGACTCTCCTCTGTCAGTGTGCCCCAGGGCAGCTATGGCTACAATGTAGCTCATCATCACCAGTGTGAATGTGTGTGTGAATGGATGAATGACTGGTTAGTTGCAAAGCACCGTGGGGGGTTGTTAATGAGTTATTTGAAAATTACAAGAAGGGGCAAATCAAAGATTGTGACAAAAATGGAAACGTACCAAGTTAAACATGATAAAGGTTGTTTATTTTTACCCCTAATGGTCTGATAATATTAGTCTTTGTATGGTGTTACTATGACAACCAGTACTACAGTGATAAATATCAAAGTTATTTTTGAAAAACACATTCATAAATCTCTCATGATCAAACTTTTTTACAAATAAAATGCAACTAACCAGTCATTCATCCCTAACCCTAACCCTAGAACCATTACCCTTTGATGCATTAATTATGAAATCTTCAACCATGTTTTTTTTTTTTTACAATTTTTACCATTCATTTTTAGGTGTGAAAGAAACTAATTTCAACAAATATCTCTTGTAACATTTCATTCACAAATACTTTATTACACGCCCACCTCAGTGGACAGCGTGCAATCTGAACATGAAATATGTTGGCTTGACTTACTGAGGTCCAAATGGAAGGGCTCAAATGCAATAGTCTTCAACAGCTGTGCTTAATAGCAAAAATAAATAAATAACAATTTTGAGTACCTGTCCACTTTAGTGACCATTCTGCATCAAATGGTTGGGAAGGAGCTAAATAAATACAGGCCATTTACCATCAAGAGGGCGGGACTTAAAATGTGTACTGTAGGCAGTCAATAGGGGATGCAATTCTTGTGACTTCAACTCCTTTATTACATCATTGTGTGTCAAGAGTTAAGCCTGATTTATGCTTCTCCGTTTGCGTCAGTGCGGAGACACGCAACACCATTATCCGTCCTTGCGTAGGGCTCCGGCAGGCACGCAAGTACGTACGGAGTCGAGCCCACTTTCTTAAACATCCGTTGAACGAGATGGATCATGCAAGCTTGTGATTGGTCAGGATGCCGCTGTTGTTTACAGCGCCGCCATTGCAAAGAGAGCTGAGGATAACTAGCGGCAGACACGGAGAAGTTTGAAGAATACCTCGCGAAAAAACTAAAAATATGAACGTTTAATTCTCCCGTGACTGGAGGAGTGAAAAGATGCGCAGCAAACGTTTTATTTGTGGACGGAAATGACAGGAAATGTGGGTTTAGAGGTGGGGAGCGCATGAAGAGGTGGGAGAATGAGAGACAAATATGTCCGTGTTAAAAGTTTCTTATATACACAAAAAAACACAATATAAACACACTATCTTGGACCAATACATGACAGGATACCACAGAACAGCGCTACGCCCTCTGTTGTCCTGCCGGGGAATTGCTTTGAAACACTCTCCAGGAGACGGAGAAGTATGAGAGCAAAACGCTTCCGTCAATCCGTGCGTGTCTGTCCCTTGCGGAGCTGACGAAGAAGCATAAACCAGGCTTTAAGCCTGATTCATACTTCTCCGTCTGCGTCGGGACAGACGCATGCAACGCCATTATCTGTCCTTGCGAGGGCTCTCCAGCAGGCTCGCAAGGACGGACAGAGTCGAGCTCTCTTTTCTAAACATCCATCTGTCGAGACCGAGAATGCAAGCTAGTGATTGGTCAGGACGCCGCTGTTGCACCATCAAAAACAAAAATACCGTAGAGCCGAGGATATCTAGCAGCAGACATGGAGCAGCTTCAAGAGTACCTTGCAGAAAAACTCTAAAAATATGAATGTTTTATTCCCCCGTGACTGGAGGAGTGAAAAGATACGCAGCAAACATTTTAGTCGTGGACGGAAATGACGAGAAACGTGGGTTTAGATATGGCGAGCACATGAAGAGGTGGAGGAGAACGAGGGACAAATTTAGTCGTGTTAAAAAGTCTCTTAAATACAAAAATCCCCACAAAATATCAAAACTATCTTGGAATGGATACATGACAGGATACAGGATACCACAGCACGGCGCTACGCCCTCTGTTGTCCTGGCGGGGAATTGCTTTGCAGCACTCCCCAGGAGACGGAGAAGTCTGAGGGCAAAACGTCTCCCTCGTGGAGCTGACGGAGAAGTATAAATTAGGCTTTAGGGTGAGTTGCTTAGGGAAGGTGGGGCATAGGAAGGCCACTAATGCCAAAACCAGCACTAGACATCAATTATCCTCAATGTAGAATTTTCCTTTTACCGTTCTTATGGGAGGCATAAAGGAGCTTTACCTCCTCGTAGTTCTGACTGCTTGTGAAGAGAGATTTGAACGTGGACCCAAAGCCAACAATGTTGAAAAGGCAGCCAGGCACCAGGCTCTTGAGAATGACCACCATGGCATCCTGAAGAAGAAAAAAAGACGACAGCAGGTTTAGCTCCAGAGCAACAACTATCATTACTAACCTGGATATTTCGCTGTGGGAGAAGAGAGTGGCAGTACACACGATCAGTTTCACCAATCACTGCCTCTTCAGCTACACAGGGGCCGCTGCCTAAATCACACCACTCATCTCCACTTCCACTCAGGTGAGCAGCACCAGGACTGCATCAACCCGGCTATTTAGAATACAGTCTCTGTTCAGGTGTATTAGAAAACATAAAAAATCTAGTCCAGGAGGAATACTCTGATTTTATTGCAAGATTTCTTGCAAAACCTGAGGTAAATAGTCATTATAGCCCTCTCACGCTCAGCCTGGCCTTAAGCCCACATGCTGTGGTAAGAAACACTTCCAATAAAGAGCTGGAGTGTGGCTGTCAGAACAACACCGGCTGGTATTATTTTCAAGAATCGTGTACAGGCAACCAAAAAACATATGAAACCTCTGAAATCCTTCAGTCTACGCTCTAGGTATTGATTAAAGTTCACGTGAAACCTCAAAGACCATCCAAAACCTAGCAACCGAAAGAGGTTTGGTGAATTGTAAATAATTCATCTGATCAATATCGTGTGCACTTGTCTTTCGCTGACCAATTCGACCAGATCCACAAAGCAGACTGTGGCTTTCAGCCCAAACAGCTATTCTAAGGTATCAAATGGCACATGGTCTTTTATCCATTAGCCATGGCACTCATTAGAGGAAATACAGAATTTCTGATGCTCCTGAGGTTAGGGTTGGGCTTGAACAACAACCAACCACGGTGGTACAAATATCGTCTGTTTTTATCATGATTTTGAAACTACATTGCTTTAAAGAAAGTAGTATCCCCTCACAGATCTGAAGAGAAACAGTAGAAGACGTCTGTAATAACGTTTTTCAGATCAGTGGCAAGAGTCTGAGATAAAGGTACCTTCACACGATGGATATTGACTCCGCTCATGCTGCCACTTCGGTCAATGAGGAAGATGAATTCCCCGTGAATTTTTCTCAGGTCTGAGCAGACGGATTTGAGATCGGGACAAAAGTTCAACATGACCACAGGGTTGTGGAGGATGTCCTTATGCAGCCGTCTGTGGATAATCTCTACCTGTAATCACATTTCCCTCCATAAGATCATTAATGCAGCCACGGGCAACACATTACAGTAAGGGTCCCTTCATTCAGCAGTAGCTCAACAGGTTGAGCGGGTTGTCCAGTAATCGGAAGGTTGCAGGTTCGATCTCGGCTCCGAACAGTGAATGCTGCTGTTGTGTCCTTGGGCAAGACACTTAGCTCACCTTGCCTGCTGGTGGTGGTCGGAGGGACCGGTGGTGCCTGTGCTCGGCAGCCTCGCCTCTGTCAGTGCGCCCCAGGGCAGCTGTGGCTCCATCGTAGCTCATCCCCATCAGTGTGTGTGTGTGTGTGTGTGTGTGTGTGTGTGTGTGTGTGTGTGTGTGTGTGTGTGTGTGTGTGTGTGTGTGTGTGTGTGTGTGTGTGTGTGTGTGTGTGTGAATGGATGAATGATACACTGTAGTGCAAAGCGCTTTGGAGTCCTTAGTCTTAAAGGCGCTATACAAGTGCGGGTCATTTATCATTTATCATTAACATTACTTAGTGCTTATTAAGCATTAATAAACAAAGGATATCTTTATTAATGTTACTTGGTGCATTATTAAGCTTCAAAATTTTTGTTATAAATGACCTGATTTTAGACAACAATCTTCAATGTTTAATTTTAACTGAAACATGGTTGAGTTCAGATGCTCCTGTTGTTCTTACAGAGGCCTCCCCACCAAACTTCTATTTTATTTGTTCAATTAGGAATGGAAAAAAGGGAGGCGGAACTGCTTTTATATCTTCTTCTTTACTTGCTGCAAAATCTGTTTTATTTGACAATTTTACCACTTTTGAGTACAATGCAGCTGTTTTTAGTATGCCTCAGATTTTATGTGTCACCGTTTATAGGCAGACTGGACTTTTTATTCAAGAATTTATTTATTCAAGTTTTTATCTATTTTACTCAACTCCTTTGATAGGATTATTTTAGCGGGTGATTTTAATCTACACATGGATAACCTTTTAGATCCTCTAGCCTTGGATTTTTTAAACATCTTAAATTTTACGGAGTTTACTCAACATGTCATGCAGCCAACTCACAACAAAGGACACACCCTGGACTTGATCATCACGTATGGCCTGTCCACCGGTGTGTGCTCTGTTGTAGACCTAGCTGAGTCTGACCATTATTGTGTGTTTTTTTAACATCACCAGTTTTACTCAGCGGGAAACCTCTGTCAGAACTGTAATGAAACGCCATCTAACCCCTGAAGTGGCTGCTGGTTTTATGGAAGTTTGTAGAAAGATCCCTCCTAATAATTTATCAGCCTCCTGTGATTTTATCGTCGATGATTTTAACAGCGGACTTAAAGCTGCTCTTGACTTGCTTTCTCCATTCAAAATCCAAAAACTGCAGTCAAAACTTACAACACCGTGGAGAAATGAAAACCTAAAACAGCTGAAGAGAAATTGCAGGGTGGCAGAGAGGAGATGGAGGAAAAATAAAAACACAATTAATGAGCAGATATACACAGAACTACTGAAATCCTATAATAAAGCAGTTCGAAATTCCAGAAATGATTATTTTTCCAAAATATTCTCAGAACACAAAAATAATCATTAAATTCTCTTTGCTTTGGTAATATTTTAATCCCAACTCTAACTTTCTTCAGAAAATCCCCTCAGATGCTCTCTGTGAGGAGTATGCAGCCCACTTCAGAGGGAAGGTAGACACCATCAGATGTAATATTTTATCCTCCAAAAGCAGTATGGTTGGTGATAAATTTGAGAGTGTGTGTCTACCTGAGGAAACACTGGACAGTTTTGTTCTCGTCGGAGCTGAGAGTCTTGATAAAGTTTTCTCCTCAGTGAGGCCCACCACTTGTGTCTTGGACCCTGTTCCCACTAGATATTTTAAACAATTCTATGATTCTTTTAGAGATGAGATTTTAACCCTGATGAATTGCTCCCTTCAGACGGGGGTCTTTCCTGCCGCCTTTAAAGGGGCGGTGGTGAGACCCCTGTTGAAGAAGAGCAATTTAGATTTTAACGATTTAAACAACTTAACAAAGCAAAATTCTAGAAAAACTTGTTTTTATTCAACTTAGTGAGTTTGTCAATACTCATAATGTCCAAGAGAAATTTCAGTCTGGTTTTAGGGTGAACCACAGCACGGAGATGGCTCTTCTGAAGATCCTAAATGATTTTAGAGTAAGTTATGATGCCCGAAGGGTAACGGTGTTGGTTCAGCTGGATCTAAGCGCTGCCTTTGACACAGTAGGCCACACTATTCTTTAACTCCCTTCTTATCCGGCTCTCAGAGGGTACAGATGCTTTTGCTTCAGCTCCGTTCTTCATAATCCAAATGTGAGCGGCAGAAGCTTTTTCCCTCGTTTGCGCATCACTTTTTTCACAGCAGTGGCCCAAAACTATCTCCTACTTCGTGGATTTTCTGCTTCCTGATCATGTGACGTGTGACATACGTGGATGAAGATCAGCTTTATAGTTCTCACGGTACGGGGCTCGCTCCGACTTCGCCCAATAAAAAATTGCAATTGACGACTTAGTCATCAATGGCAGCGAGCGGTTGGATTTAAAATGATGACTTTAATCGTCAGTGGCAGTAAATGTGTCAATGTTACTTAGTGCATTATTAAGCATTAATAAACAAAGGGTCCCTTTGTTAACATTACTATTGTTGTTAACTATTACGTGTCCTCAAGGTTAGGACAAAGGGCTCAGGGGGTCTGTTTAGTAATGCATTACCTAATATGGTTAAGCAATTGTTAATACTTTAGTTAATAGTTTATTAATGCTCAATAATGCAATAAGTAATGTCAATAAAGGGACCCTTATTGTAAGATGTTACCCAACCTTGTCTGTTTTAAGGGACCTTTGTGAATACGGTAGACAATTTTAAAAAAGCACTAAACAGGTGAGGGATCAGGTCGACAAAGCACATCAATTATTGTAAGTGTGCTGAAAAAGTCCAGGCAGGATGTCGTTTGCTTTTTGAGTGTTTCCATAGAAACCAGTTTTAATGGTTCTCTCTCTCTCTCTCTCTCTCTCTCTCTCTCTCTCTCTCTCTCTCTCTCTCTCTCTCTCTCTCTCTCTCTCTCTCTCTCTCTCTCTCTCTCTCTCTCTCTCTCTCTCTCTCTCTCTCTCTCTCTCTCTCTCTCTCTCTCTCTCTCTCTCTCTCTCTCTCTCTCTCTCTCCTCTCTCTCTCTCTCTCTCTCTCTCTCTCCTCTCTCTCTCTCTCTCTCTCTCTCTCTCTCTCTCTCTCTCTCTCTCTCTCTCTCTCTCTCTCTCTCTCTCTCTCTCTCTCTCTCTCTCTCCTCTCTCTCTCTCTCTCTCTCTCTCCTCTCGTGTGTGTGTGTGTGTGTGTGTGTGTGTGTGTGTGTGCTATTTTTCTGTTGTGTCATAATTTGAGTTTTCATTTTATGTGTTTTGCATCTTGAAGCCTCCTTACAATCAAGACTAGTGGTAGAAAAGTGGACATTTCTGCCTTTTTCCAAATTGTACTGTATTTATAAACTACATCAAAGTCCCGTTAGTCATTATCACACACTGATGAAATTCATCTCTGCATTTGACCCAGCCTCATGGGGAGCGGTGAGCTGCAGCTGTGGCTGCGTTCGGGATCTATTAGGTGGTTAAAGCAGCAATCTGGAGTTTCCCCCTTTCAGGAACAATGTATGATTTTTATAAATCTATAAAACTGATAGTCTTATCCTACTGTGATATAACGTAGGCATCGCTTAACATTTTTGCTAAGCCCGCCCCGGTCCCTTAGAGCCCCATGCAATTAGAACTGAGCACAGCTCAGCAATAGCATTAGACGTCCGCTTACATAGATGTCAATCACACAGAGTGCACATTTGCAGACATAGACAGATGCAGAGTTACTGACATTTCTTATGGATCAGTCGGTTATATATATCTATCTATCTATATATATATATATATATATATATATATATATATATATATATATATATATATATATATACAGGTGCTGGCCAGTAAATTAGAATATCATCAAAAGGTTGAAAATATTTCAGTAATTCCATTCAAAACGTGAAACTTGTACATTATATTCATGCAATGCACACAGACCAATGTATTTCCAATGTTCATTACATTTAAATTTGATATTCATAAGTGACAACTAATGAAAACTCCAAATTTGGTATCTCAAAAAATTAGAATATTCTGAAAAGGCTGAATATAGAAGACACCTGCTGCCACTCTAATCAGCTGATTTACTCAAAACACCTGCAAAGGCCTTTAAAAGGTCCCTCAGTCTTGTTTTGAAGGCACCACAATCATGGGGAAGACTTCTGACTTAACAGCTGTCCAAAAGACAATCATTGACACCTTGCACAAGGAGGGCAAGACACAAAAGGTGATTGCTAAAGAAGCTGGCTGTTCGCAGAGCTCTGTGTCCAAGCACATTAACAGACAGGCGAAGGGACGGAAAAAATGTGGTAGAAAAAAGTGTACAAGCTCTAGGGATAACCGCACCCTGCAGAGAATTGTGACGACAAACCCATTCAAAAATGTGGGGGAGATCCACAAAGAGTGGACTGCAGCTGGAGTCAGCGCTTCAAGAACCACCACGAGGAGACTCATGAAAGACATGGGATTCAGGTGTCGCATTCCGTGTGTCAAGCCACTCTTGAACATGAAACAGCGCAAGAAGCATCTCGCCTGGGCCAAGGACAAAAAGGACTGGACTGATGCTGAGTGGTCCAAAGTTATGTTTTCTGATGAAAGCAAGTTCTGCATTTCCTTTGGAAATCAAGGACCCAGAGTCTGGAGGAAGAGCGGAGAAGCACAGAATCCACGTTGCATGAGGTCCAGTGTAAAGTTTCCACCGTCAGTGATGGTGTGGGGTGCCATGTCATCTGCCGGTGTTGGCCCACTCTGTTTCCTGAGGTCCAGGGTCAATGCAGCCGTCTACCAGGAAGTTTTAGAGCACTTCATGCTTCCTGCTGCTGACCAACTTTATGGGGATGCAGTCTTCACCTTTCAACAGGACTTGGCACCTGCACACAGTGCCAAAACCACCAGCACCTGGTTCAAGGACCATGGTATCCCTGTCCTTGATTGGCCAGCAAACTCGCCTGACCTTAACCCCATAGAAAATCTATGGGGTATTGTGAAGCGGAGGATGCAATACGCTAGACCCAACAATGCAGAGGAGCTGAAGACGACTATCAGAGCAACCTGGGCTCTCATAACACCTGAGCAGTGCCACAGACTGATCGAGTCCATGCCACGCCGCATTACTGCAGTTATTGAGGCAAAAGGAGCCCCGACTAAGTATTGAGTGCTATACATGCACATTCTTTTCATGTTCATTCTTTTCAGTTGGCCAACATTAGAGAAACAAACATTTTTTCATTGGCCTTTAGAATATTCTAATTTTCTGAGATACCAGATTTGATGTTTTCATTGGTTGTCACCTATAAATATCAAAATTAAACGTAATAAACATCGGAAATACATTGGTCTGTGTGCATTGCATGAATATAATGTACAAGTTTCACGTTTTGAATGGAATTACTGAAATATTTTCAACCTTTTGATGATATTCTAATTTACTGGCCAGCACCTGTATATATATATATATATAGATAGATAGATAGATAGATATAGATGTAGGGGTGCATGTTCACGAAGGAGAGGCGTTGCTTCCAGCCATTAACACCAAAGTAGGGATATAAATTTTTCTACCCTCTGAGAAAAACTGGATTTCTGCTTTAATTTGAGGACGTATTATGAACAGACTCCCAAGAATACTACAGGTAAACTAATGTTTTATTAAATAAAGCATGCAATGACGTCAGCTTTATGCAGCTTATAGAAAGTGTTTGGGCTGCCCTTTCTGAAAAGAAAATGAGACTGTTATCCAGCACATGCAGCTGATGCACTCACTTTCCTCTGATTGCTGGAGTCCTTCTTGGTGGCTTTGATGAAATCAGTCCGACTGTGAAGATACTCGTCATACTCCTCCTGCGTCATGTCTCCATTCTCAACTAGCACGTGGGGCACATGGGGCTCTCAAAACAGAACAGAGCACAGTAATTTAGAGCAAGAATGTGCGTGTAGGTCTAAAAGCCTCGCGGGGTGATTTGCACTCACAAACACGTTCCTATATCCATGGTGGAAGGAAGGTACAATTAATTTGATCACAGTGAGGCACTCAGGAAGAAACAAATACAACATTTTCCTCCTATGTTCAGAACGTAAAGAGAAGGCCTTTAAACCAGTTTAATTTTCATCAAGAATGTTCTGAGTTCAGCTAGAAAGGACGTGAATTTTTCTCCCGTCATGATCAGAGTCAGAATCAGAAAAGGTTTATTGCCATTGTCAGTGAACAAACGATTCACAAACTAGGAACTTGCTTCGGTACTAGCGTGCTACATATAACATGAATAATATAATTAAAAATAGAATAAAGTAGAATAAAATATAATAAACTAGCATAAAACTTTGCTATAAAAAATGGCAGGTAATGGTAATATGGCCGATAACGTGACGTTATGTCAAGTACAGAAGACGAGCATGGTTGTGTGTTTATAAGCTGTTCACAAGTCTAACGGCAGATGGAAAGAAGCTGTTCTTTTGGCGAGAGGTTCTGGTCTGGATGGACCGTAACCTCCTGCCTGAGGGAAGCGGCTCAAAAAGTCTGTGACCCGGGTGAGAAGGGTCATCTGCTATCCGACCTGCACGCCCCCGAGTTCTGGAGACGTACAGGTCCTGGAGAGATGGAAGGCTGCAGCCAATCACCTTCTCATAATAAATGTGGTTTTACCTAAAATATCTATGCTTTAGACATAATAAAACAGGCCAGATGATTTCTGCTCACGAATGTCCTTATTGTCCAGACTTCCATCTGATCCAGAATGCTTCCAGATTTCTGACGAGAGTTAAGCGGAGAGATCTGATTTCAGCAGTTTCAGCATCACTTCACCGCCTGGCTGTAAGACCAGGATTAGATTTTACATCTAATTTATGAAGCTCTGAAAGAACAAGCCGCCCCTAAAAGATCTTCGTTACCAACAGAGCGCTTGGCTCTCAGGCAGCAGCTTCAGTTCCTAAAGTTTCTAAAAGGAGTTTTCAGTTCTCATGCTCCCCTCTGGTGAGAATCGACTTCCTGTTACAGATACCCCAGTAAAACGAGGCTTCGGACATCCCTCTTTGAATAATCTTAGAGTGAGCTAGACATATCATTGCTCATCCCTTTAGTTATGCTGCTGGAGGACCAAATTTCCTCTCTCTGCTGGCCCTACTCTCTACTCTCCATGTTTGTATGTACTGTGGTTCCGGTCATTCACTTTGCTGCCTCTGGCTGCTCCTGTCCTCCTGGTTTTGTCCCTTTTCTTGTCCCCTCAGACGCCAGCAGAATGGTGTCTCCGAGTCTGATTCTGCTTAAAGTTTCTTTCTGTTCAAAACTAGTTTTTGTTCCCACTGCCACCATTCATGCCACACTTGCTCAGAATGGGGACTTGAATATTGAATGTGATCTGTTTATCCGTTTATCATGGGTAAACCTTACTAAACTGGACCATTATTATTAATTGAATACAATTATTGTGAGAATGAACTGAATCGACTGCATTCACTTGACTTTGGATCTCATGAACTGCTTTTTGTTTCTGTATGAACATCTTTGAGTTTTGGATTTCATTTCAGTTGTGCCAGAACATGTTAAACTCTCTAAAGTTTCAATATATTTACCTACAACTGTACCATGTTCAGCGCTTTGGGCTTCCTGACAGGGTTGCGGAAGGCGCTTTATAAATAAAGCTTTGATTGGTTGATTGATTGGTTGATTGATTGATTGATTGATTGATTGATTGATTGATTGATTGATTGATTGATTGATTGATTGATTGATTGATAAAGCCCCTTCCACAACACATTCACGACACGGCTTGTCTCGACTGCTTCGCATGGTCGGGGTGGTTTTCCATTACAAATACGAAACAGCTCTAGTGGGTGGAGTCGTTATAGCAGGGCAACCCCCAGACTCCCAAAAGTAGCGCGACGGTCTGTTGGCAACACCTTTTCATTGAAAGTCGCTAGATCTAACTCCTATTGAACCTTAGCATGAAAACCCCTCATTGGACCACAGTGTTGGCTTTTGTGTTGACATCATTGTTCTTTAAAGAGCAAGTCACCCCTTACAAGAAGCGTACTTCACTCCCACTTCATGTTTGAAAAATGCAACAAATGTTGTTGCCTAGCAGACCGAGAGGGTGGAGCCACTAACAAATACACACACTCACGACATTGTGACATCATAATGTACCAGTTTACATCATAGCATGCCTCTTAGCCAATAGCGGTGGCAGATTTAAATTCAACTGCAGTGCAGAGTTTTTACCTGACGACAGCACAACACTGACAGTTTTAGGCAGAAAATTTAAATTTTAACTAAAATGCAAAAACATTGACTCCACGTGTCTGCAGCACGATTAGACACACATTTATATAGTTTATCAGAAAAAAATTGTTGATTTGTGGGTGACTTGCTCTTTAAATGCTCTAAATAATCCATGATTGTTCATATGACAATCATCTGAACTCACATTTCCATTGTGGCATGGTACACTTGGAACCAGGTTGGTTCTAAAATTAGGGGAGGAGCTGACGAAAGTGGAAAAACCGCATATAGCCGACATAAGTGAGGTGCTAAAGTGCCAAAAGTGGTGCCTAAATGAGGCTGCTGATAAAACCAGAGGGTTATTTTTTATGTCCAGTGTGTTCGGCCTCCTCCATCTCTCTGCTCTAACTGAGCATTCACATTGCGGCTGAATCTGCAGCCCCACTGCGAGTTGAATTGGTGCTCCTCTCAGGCCGCAGGTCTGCTTGTGAACAAGCTCACACTAAGAGGCCAATCGGCTCACTATGACCAGGTTTCACTCCTGCCACAGGGAGACAACCAGCCCACACAGTCTGCAGATCAAGACAGCTGTAAGGGATTGAGACGATCACCAGAAATGAATAAAAACCAAGAACAACAGAAAGAAAATCCTAGACGATGCAAAGCCACAATGTGCACTCACAAGCACACAAATAGTGGAATTCATCTTTCCTCTAAGCTGATTATAGGCCACGTAAGCTCATAACCGGTTTCAGAATATTTTACTTGGAAATGAATAAGCAGCTAACTGGGCTGAGCTGTACTGGACTGAAAAGTTGTGGACCTACCGCTGGGGTAGATGAGGATTTCCACAGGGCAGTCGTAGGTGTACTTGTCAGCTAGTGTGATGACAACGCTCGTGGCAGAGCGGGCGAGGGGGTCAGCATCAGCTCGGATGGCATGAGAAGGGCTCTCTACACCTAGACAGTGAAATATCCACAGCAGAAAGAATGAGGAGTAGCCCTATAAACACACCTGGTCTGTACCAGTTACCTGGAGAAGGATCTCAGTCACCCTGGGAAACTGCTTGTGGTAAGCAGTTTTCACTTTCAGCACTGGATCTGATAGTTTCACTCATACCCTCCAGATCAAAATGTCCTCACATGATCCCATCCCTACATCATGAATTTGAAAAACTGAAAAAACTGAACTTCTTCTAGTTGGCACTAACTCCACCCTCTCAACATCTGACAGCTTTTCTTTAACAATAGACAGCGCCATAGTCTCCCCCTCACCTCACGTCAAGAGTCTGGGTGTCATTCTCGACAGCTCACTTTCTTTTCAAGCTCACATTAATAACTTAATTCGGTCAGCATACTTCCATCTACGTTCCATAAACCGTCTCCGTCCCTCACTGACCCCTCACACTGCCGCCATTCTC